TATTTGTATTTTTAAACATTGTATTTAAATTAATAATTAGTCGTATGAGCTACAGTATTGACTGCTCTTTGTTAGCAATAAAATACAATACGGAGAAATAAATATATCTTCAAGGACAGGGGAGACAGCAGAACCAAGGTTGTAAATGCTCAAGGACAGGAGAGACGGCAGAGGACAATTTGTAGATGTCCAAGGACAGGAGAGTCCGCAGAGGACAATTTGTAGATGTTCAGGGACAGGAGAGACCGCAGAGGACAATTTGTAGATGTTCAGGGACAGGAGAGACAGCAGAACAAATGTTGTAGATGTTCAGGGACAGGAGAGACAGCAGAACAAATGTTGTAGATGTTTAGGGACAGGAGAGACCGCAGAGGACAATTTGTAGATGTTCAGGGACAGGAGAGACAGCAGAACAAATGTTGTAGATGTTCAGGGACAGGAGAGACCGCAGAGGACAATTTGTAGATGTTCAGGGACAGGAGAGACCGCAGAGGACAATTTGTAGATGTTCAGGGACAGGAGAGACAGCAGAACAAATGTTGTAGATGTTCAGGGACAGGAGAGACAGCAGAACAAATGTTGTAGAAGTTCAGGGACAGGAGAGACAGCAGAACAAATGTTGTAGAAGTTCAGGGACAGAAAAGTCAGCCGAACAAATGTTGTAGATGTTCAGGGACAGGAGAGACAGCAGAACAAATGTTGTAGATGTTCAGGGACAGGAGAGACAGCAGAACAAATGTTGTAGATGTTCAGGGGCAGGGAGAGACAGCAGAACAAATGTTGTAGATGTTCAGGGACAGGGAGAGTCAGCCGAACAAATGTTGTAGAAGTTCAAGGACAGGAGAGACCAGCAAAACAAAAGTTGTAGATGTTCAGGGACAGGAGAGACAGCAAAACAAAAGTTGTAGATGTTCAGGGACAGGAAAGACAGCAAAACAAAAGTTGTAGATGTTCAGGGACAGGAGAGACAGCAAAACAAAAGTTGTAGATGTTCAGGGACAGGAGAGACAGCAGAACAAATGTTGTAGATGTTCAGGGACAGGAGAGACAGCAAAACAAAAGTTGTAGATGTTCAGGGACAGGAAAGACAGCAAAGCAAAAGTTGCAGATGTTCAGGGACAGGAGAGACAGCAAAACAAAAGTTGTGACTCCTTGAGTATAAAAGTGTGTGAGGTGGGAGTGCTGGCGAGAGACCGAGTTTCTTTCAGGTAGACCGTGATGAGAGCGACGTTCTGCAAACGACCTACTACATGATGATGATGATGAATTCATAACTTCAGTGAATATTTGGAATATTTGTTTTCTGGTGATCTATGGTGAGCTTTGTGAAAGGGTCGTTTGATGCCCAAAAGCTTCGTGACCCACAGGTTGAGAACTGCTCTTCTAGCGTGTTGTGTTCTTTGCAGCTTCTGACAGAGATGGCAAAGCTAGTTGTAGTGAACACTGGGGACAGCACTAACGTGATATGAGCAACGTGACACTGGAGAGCCCAGACCTAAAGCTTTGGCATCCATAACTCTGAACACCAGTTCATATCGTTGTTTCAACAAACTAACTTCTTAAACAATGCGATAACTGGCATTAGATGCTTCATCTCGTAAAGTAACCACATGTAACAGACACAGTTTGTGCTAAATTTATAATTTAACGTCTTTACGTTTCTACGTGAGTTAGTTGCGTCCTGACTTGGTTTGTTCTTCTGTGTACTTAAATTTTGAGAAACTTTTGTTTTCATCAAAGCATCTATAATATAACTTGTCGTATGTATGCGGCATTATCTAGCCTGGTTAACTTACCAATGTCCAGAAACGATATTCAAGAACTATCAGCGTCGTATTATTTATTTGTATGAAGAAATTACAATATGTAGTCCACAAGTGGTCCTGTGTGTCGCGAACTTCTGCTTGAGGCACTGACAGGGATGAGAGAAGTATACATCGTGGAATGTTTATATTGCGAAGGTGAAGGTCATCAAGGTCAGCTGAGGTTGTACTTATGGTTGACATTGTGAACTACCAAGGCCAAGGTCAAGATCACCAGGATAAACTGCAGATTGGAAAACGACTTGAATAAATAGAGTTGAGAGAAGTGTTTTCTTTCTCTTTCATTGTCTGTCTGTCTGTCTGTCTGTCAAGCAAGATTCCTGTAGGTCTTTCATGACTGAATAACCCTGTCACTACATCATCCCGTTTAACTAGCAATATACCTACATGTCATACTTATGTCTGTCTGTATGTTTAAATGTCTGCCCGTCTGTCTGTCTGTTCCGTTGCAAGCATGCATGCCTGCTTTATGAGAAAGGAAAAGTCCCTTCGTTAGTTCGTTCTGCCTGCCTGCATGTCTGTCTACTTGCCTGTCTGTCTGATCGCGTGTATGTCTATCTATCTGACTCTGTGGTACAATCTATGCTTTCCCCACCAACTCAACCTCAGTCAGATGTGCCTATCGGAACATATTATAATCAGACAGAGTTCGTATGTCTATTGTTTTTAACAACCGTCCAGTTACCCATAAACACATCAAGTGAAATTAAGTTTGTTCATTATAAAACAATCTACATTTGAGTATGGCGACAATTATTCATTACCAATAATACTAATGTTACAACAAAGGTTGCTCTGTCATTGGCTTCACATCAGGTTATTTACTGTTCATCAACTGTTTCTAAAGTCTCATTTAACGCACTGTAGAAATATCTTGTCTTCCAACTAAGTTAACTCTCGGCCATACAGTAACTTGCTATGTTCACAAACTACAGTTCTTGTTTTGCGACCACCCGGCTAAGACGCCTCGTTCTTTCTGCCCCTCATGATCCGCTTCTCTCCTTGCTCCTTCATCTCTCGTTAATACGTTATCTCATTTCTTCTTCTGACACCCTTCACTCCGACATCTTCATCTACCACAGACTCTCTGGCCTATCGTCTTGCTTTATCTAATGAAACGATTATGACCTTTTCATCTCTGTATCTAGTTTCCATCATGCCACCCAGTGATGGATTACCCTTGATGTTCGTCTCAGTGCCTCCGTGTAGACATTCTGTAAAGCTTAACCACAGTTTCCATTATTTTACTGTCCTACGTCAGTCTGTCTGTATAGTTGTATGTCTGTCATTGTAAGACAATAGAGACAGTTTAAGTCTACCTGTCTGTCCAGTACGTATTTGAATTAACAAAGACTATTTTTTTTTAAACCCACTGGCCCATCACGTGACACACATTCTGACCTGGAATACAATAACGGACACAGTGACCCCAAGAACTGTCCACTGATAGTGTTGAAACTCTGTGGTCACAGCTTCCCGGCAACCCTGCAAGAATATACACACATACGTTCATCAATACAGTCAGTGTATTCACTTCTTTCCTTGGATGTAGGTGCACGCAACAAACCTTATCTCTTCAACCATCAACAACGCTATTAAAACCCGCTCTTCTAAAAACCTACATTTGTGAGTCCGTGTCATATCATAATAAATTTCGTTCATACAAACGTGTCTCTCCATTTAAACTGTGTTGCACACTAGCTCACTTCTGATCGGTCGAACTTCAGCCTAGCTCACTTCTGATTGGTCTACCTTGAGCCACGCTATCATTGCCACAAGGTTATGGGGATTCCCACAATGACGTTGATATCGCGTGTTGTATATTTGAGCACGCCAGCTCTTTTAAGACTTCACAAACATCGACAAACTGGGTCCAACACACAACCCATTTAGAGAGTGATGAAACCTATGTCACATGCATTCCTTTCCTCGGAATAAAAACGTAAATGCAAGACATCATAGAAAGCAAACAACAGACTAGTACACCCGTAACCTGCAGGAAGGTAGACCAGCCCAAAAAACATGAATGCAACGTGACCTGCTTTGTTTGGAGAGTCTAACGTTTGTGTAATCTAAAGTTCAACTCCAATGTGCACGGGATGCAAATCATTTATTTAAGAAACTGTAGAGATGTGCAACTAAATTAAGTTTACTTAGCAACCAAAATTCTGAAACTCGAATAGACAAGGGCTAGAGGTACGAATCCAGCACAGAAAGATCATTAACACGATACAGTATGCAATGATCCTGGGGCCACTTGCTATGCTTCAGTGGGTCACATTTGGTCCGCGGGCCGCATGTTAAATAGCCATGCTGTTTGAATGTAGAGCAATGCCAGGGGGATGTTCCGCGGACTGGGACCGTTCTACAACAACATGGATGTGCTGAAGCAGTTACAGTTCACATTGAACGCCATCTGGTCTCAAGTCCGGTCAGCGCTTCTACCCGTGGTTAACATGGTCAACGTTATCCGTGTCCTCTTTACTTTTCATGAGATTCACTGGTTCCCATTTTGACACGAGCCAATTTGAGAGCTAATAATTCTTTAAACCTTTACCTCGATATGGATTTAAACCCAAGACCTTAAGGTCGACAGACAAGGCTCATGCTGCTGCGCTACTAGGGGCTACCCGCTCAGATTAGGGGTCAGTGCTACCAGGCGCTACCTGTACAGATGTGTAGCCAACGCTACCAAGGGCTTCCTGTTGCCAGCGCTACCGAGGGCTATCTATACAGATGTGTTGCTAGTGCTACCAAGGGCTACCTGTACAGATGGGTTGCCAGCGCTACCGAGGGCTGTCTGTATAGATGGGTTGCCAGCGCTATCAGAGGCTGTCCGTACAGATGGGTTGCCAGCGCTATCAGAGGCTGTCCGTACAGATGGGTTGCCAGCGCTACCGGGGTTGTCCGTACAGATGGGTTGCCAGCGCTACCGGGGTTGTCCGTACAGATGGGTTGCCAGCGCTATCAGAGGCTGTCCGTACAGATGGGTTGCCAGCGCTACCGGGGCTGTCCGTATAGATGGGTTGCCAGCGCTACCGGGGCTGTCTGTATAGATGGGTTGCCAGTGCTATTGTGGCACAGTCGTGCCTATACATCCCCCAAGAAATAGATGTGCCTAAGTCGGCCAAGTGAATGAATATAGTTCGTATCTCTCTTCAATCGTACTCAAGAACAAGGCCAGTGATGTAACAATTACACAAGAGCTGTTTATTTACAATATTCCAGTCATAGAGGCTTTATAAATTCAATAGTATATGAACACTGTATTATCTGGATACAGGCTATTCGTATGACTCTCTACGAGTTCCTTAACCACTGTTCTAGCTAAACTCCAAGTTTAACATATACCTTCTAAACGAAGTAAATCACTAGTTTTCTCCTAACCGGTCTTTCCAGCGGTTCAGCCCTAACCTGTCCTATCAAGCGGTTCCGTGGCTAACTGTCCTCTCCAGCGGTTCCGGGACTAACTTTATTCCCCCGCTTTCCCGCCTTTCTGGTGTACCCTCTCCATCACTTCTCTGTCACCTGTCTTTGGTGGTCACGTCTGGATGCACGTATCTCACAGTTCACGGGCACTCGTCGAATGTTTCATCCCTCACTGTCAGATGTCATGGCGGTGTGTTCTGCATAGCTGGCTAGGCCATGGCTTTCTAATCACCTATTTCTGTCATTTCACACAGTGATGGATTAGTACGCTGTGTGGTGGTCTGAAATGTATGCTTGTTCGTTTAACCCCTTTTCTGCCTATATTTCGTTACATTCGCCCTTCACACTTTTTAACAAAATTGTTTCCTATCTTCAATTTTATAAAAACTACTCTAATTATACCCGCTACCTAACTAAACCTTATGTGAACATCTAGCCACGTAATGAAAGCATACAACATAACATGTAACATCATAAAATTCATGCAGTATAATGAAAACGTGACATGCATACAATAACTAATAGTCAATAATTCTAAAGACATAAAAAAAAAAACGATACAACTCCCTCGTTGTATTAGCATAACAACCTCTTATTCACTGGTATCCCTAATGAATGTGCGGAGTTGTCTGAAGTATAAAGGAATAGTATCTGTATTCCTCCTTTATAAACTCAAACCTGAAAACATTGTATACAAGAAATGACATGCCATGTATCCCCAGTTTTCAATAAAATAAAACTCGAAAATGTCATCTCCCCAAGAAAGGATGAAAATAGAATCTCTGAGAAAGTCAACATAGACTGAACAATAAGGTATACCCTTTACAGAGTATAATTAATTCTTATACCGTTAGGTATATTAATTGGAGAGAAATTTCTCAGAAACAATCGTAGCATTTCCTCAAGTCGAATGTACAATGCCACCACCTGTATTTACAGGCATTTATCTACTGTGATAGTCCACAGCGTTTATTGTTGCTTCCCTAAGAGGTTGCTTCCTCTGTTTAATGCATATCGCATCTTCTGTAAAGAAATAGCCGGCCTATATTCAGTTACCAATCATGTCATGCTTTGGACTGGCTTATCGCCAAGTACGTTTCTGTGTACCTCCGTAAAGTCTGGTTAAACTCAAATCAGTCATCATTCTGATAGAATGTATAAGAGAGGTTTTGTGGCCAGTAACTCTCTTAGCGAACATAAAACACGTAGGTATTGTAATCTTCACCCACAACCGAACGTGTGGATTTTCACTTGTCCGGGAGAGTACAACACGTAAAAAAAAAACGTTCATAGTGCAAAACCAAATGTAAATATTAAATGGTAAGGTCAAAACAACGATATATATTTAATCTTGTCGGACAAATGACATGTAGACACAACAACAGAATATGTGTAGCGAGCGCGGTACCTCTGTAGACGGCAATATAACGTATGTTAATTGTAATTAATGAATCGAATTACTTGTTATATACCCTACAATCCCACATTTATTGAACCATTTTACGAACGATCCCATTTCAGTTAGTCATGGTGAAAGGGAGGGGGGGGGGGGGCTGTAATTAATGTATGGTTTACTCAGGGTATAAATTCAGTCTACCCCCTGGTGATTCTGGCCTACTGACTGTAGTGGATGCTAACTGTTCTAGTTCTATTTCTTCTTCTGTCTTATTAGTGATCTGTGTTTTTTCTTTTGTTAAATGAAAAGTTAGCAATACATCGGAACATCTTATTAATTTTGCTATATTTGTTAGATGCCACTTCATTACGACACTTCTGGCTACTTTTATTTCCGTGTAAATTTAAATCTAATACATTTGATTTTCTGGCATCTTTATTTTCCTGTAAACCATGCCGCTCGTTTAAATCGGTATGCGAATTTTTAATTCCCGACATTCTTGTCTCCTGTTTTGCTCTTTTGTTAGGCGAAGTTTCTGCTGTGTCTTCTTCTTCACTTCTACGATTACATGTACCTTTAACTGGTACTTCTGATGGTTTTAATTCTTTCACACTAGACGGAGTATTAGTCCTGGTTCTAACCGCGACTAAAATTCTACGACCCGTTTTGTTTGTGATCCCAATTTCACTATCTGCGTCGTAGTTTTCTGAGAATAAATCTACCTTTATGTTACTAACTACAAACGGTAATGTATTTATTCCTTCACCTTCTTCTTCTGTAGGCATCACCTGTCTATAAGACAAATCCTGCTGATTTCTTTCAATTGTCCCTACCCTCTCTACTTTCCTATGTGTGCTATTGCTATCTAGCCTTTTTATTTTAACCGCGTTTACTTCCCATAACCATTCCATTGCTAAACAACCCTCTTTATCTTCTTCTTTTTCCGACTTAACTTTAGTCGGTGTTAACTCTTTCTCTATGTTCCCTTCTTCTTTAAAGTATTGACCGTGTGTCCCGTTTACTGTTACAGCATTCACTTCTCCAACGTAATTTTTACAAAACCGTACCTTGTTATTCCTGTCATTAAACCCTCCTAGCTTGTATTCACTGACTTGTGAGGGGTAGGTCATATTTTTAGAATTACGTTTTAATGTCTGGAAATAGTTCCGCCGCGCATATGAACCGTCTTTCCCTCTACTTTGCGCTCTGGGTATCTTCCACTGGGACCTGTATTTAGCTAACACTCTGTTTTTTAACATTTCTTCTAACCTATTTGTCTCATCATAAGCAGCGCACATGTTTTTATTACCTGTCTGCCATAATCCGTTATAGTTACTGACCTCGCGATTATTTCCTAAGTTTTGCAATCTTATATTCTTATTATAGTCTAATTTTCTTAACCTGTCTCTTTTGAATTTGTTGGCTTGATTATGGGTCGTACCGTGGGCCCTGTAATCTTGATTAGTGCTCATCGTGCTAAATCTGGAATCTGGATTACATGACCTGACTCGACTTCGGGTATTATCATGGATATTTCCTACTCTATTTATGTTCTGATATCTGTTACTATTATTATGCCACTGCTCCTGTGCTCTTATATGTCTATCATTTTCTAATTTTCTCAACCTGTCTGCTCTATGGAAATTTTTAAAATGCCCTCGTTCATTTTGTACACATGACCTCAGTTGACCCTGATTTTTCTCGTACGCTTTTGTGTTGTCTGGTCTGCGGTACTGATTGTCTCTAGGGTATTGCAATCTCTCGTTAGCATAATTTCGCCTGTCTGGGAAACCGGACAGTCGATTAACCTCGCCGTTACTTCTAGTGACTGTAGCTATGTTATAATTTCTTTCTCTCTGTCTTTGTCTACGACTATCTACAGTTGACCAATGCTGAGCAGTTGATTGTTCTATAAAAAATGGAATACGGAGTTTTCTACCTAACTGTGCTATTTCATTAAAAACTCTGCTAAACTGTGCTCTCACTGTTCCTTGATATGCCATTATTAAAACCTGGAAAATTAACTAATGTAAACTAAAATAGAATTTAAAACAGAAAATGTCGTATTACCTTGTTGAGTGCGGTCTGAAAAAAAAATTCTCTTTTCACAACACACTGTAATTAAAAATCGGCACTGTCCTGGAATTATTTTCTAAGTTAGTAGGAAAGGTAGGGAAAGATAAGAAAAGGTTTTCCCTACACCACTGTAAATTGAAAATCACAATATATTTAAACTATCTGTCCACCTAAATCTAGCGTATTTTTGCAGTTCCTATTTGTAAAATCGGACAGCTCACAGTTCTTGACTTTCCTATAATCTTCCGAGTGTGTAAAGTTAGGAAAAGTTTATATTATGGCTCCAGACTAGAACGGGCGCGTCCCCCTGATTCTAGTGTAGACGGTTTGCTCCGGGCTAGAACGGGCGTGTCCCCCTGATTCTAGTGTAGACGGTTTGCTCCGGGCTAGAACGGGCGTGTCCCCCTGATTCTAGTGTAGACGGTTTACTCCAGGCTAGAACGGGCGTGTCCCCCTGATTCTAGTGTAGACGGTTGGCTCCAAAAGGTGGTGCAGGCTGTTGGTCTGGTTTACGACTCTCCAATCTGATGACGGGTTTCTCGACTTTTCTTACTCAGCAGGCACAATCATAAACTTGCTTTTAGTTCACGTTTTGTTGCGGTAGCTTATTTGGTATTTTGTTACAGCAGTCTTGACTGTTAAAGATGTCGATGTCAACAAGACTGTCGTTGGTCACGGCATCCAAATATCCTCATCGCTTGTGGCACAGTCGTGCCTATACATCCCCCAAGAAATAGATGTGCCTAAGTCGGCCAAGTGAATGAATATAGTTCGTATCTCTCTTCAATCGTACTCAAGAACAAGGCCAGTGATGTAACAATTACACAAGAGCTGTTTATTTACAATATTCCAGTCATAGAGGCTTTATAAATTCAATAGTATATGAACACTGTATTATCTGGATACAGGCTATTCGTATGACTCTCTACGAGTTCCTTAACCACTGTTCTAGCTAAACTCCAAGTTTAACATATACCTTCTAAACGAAGTAAATCACTAGTTTTCTCCTAACCGGTCTTTCCAGCGGTTCAGCCCTAACCTGTCCTATCAAGCGGTTCCGTGGCTAACTGTCCTCTCCAGCGGTTCCGGGACTAACTATATTCCCCCGCTTTCCCGCCTTTCTGGCGTACCCTCTCCATCACTTCTCTGTCACCTGTCTTTGGTGGTCACGTCTGGATGCACGTATCTCACAGTTCACGGGCACTCGTCGAATGTTTCATCCCTCACTGTCAGATGTCATGGCGGTGTGTTCTGCATAGCTGGCTAGGCCATGGCTTTCTAATCACCTATTTCTGTCATTTCACACAGTGATGGATTAGTACGCTGTGTGGTGGTCTGAAATGTATGCTTGTTCGTTTAACCCCTTTTCTGCCTATATTTCGTTACACTATCAGAGGCTGTCCGTACAGATGGGTTGCCAGCGCTATCAGGGGCTGTCCGTACAGATGGGTTGCCAGTGCTACCGGGGCTGTCCGTACAGATGGGTTGCCAGTGCTACCGGGGCTGTCCGTATAGATGGGTTGCCAGCGCTACCGGGGCTGTCCGTACAGATGGGTTGCCAGCGCTACCGGGGCTGTCCGTACAGATGGGTTGCCAGTGCTATCAGGGCTGTCCGTACAGATGGGTTGCCAGTGCTACCGGGGCTGTTCGTACAGATGGGTTGCCAGCGCTATCAGGGCTGTCCGTACAAATGTGGGATCAAACACCCGTCCCAGCTAACATGTAGATACAGATGAGGTACAAGGTTACGAGCATGTAAATACAGAAAGCGAGACTGCCTTTGTTAGCACTATACATTTATGAAAGTCAAAGTCAACAAAATCTAATACGGATATTTCGCAATGAGAAATACATGAAATTCAGCGCTTTTTCTTTGAGCCAAAGCGAGCACAAGCATGGAAACATTAATGTTATTGAAACTACAAGCATTCATTACCGGATGTCAGCACAGAATTAGGAGAAGTAAATGGTACGGCAGAATTACTAATGTTGAGCTTTGAGGCAGTCATTACATATATTATCGTGGAAGCTAATGCAGCCGGTGTTACATTAACGACATCATCCGTGTGAAGTCAGCTGATGCTACAACAAACTAATAAATATAGAAATCTAACCCGCAAACTGCAGTCTTGGTACCACACGAGTCGCTTTACGCCTCCCCTCCCCCTCCCCTTTTTCCCCAAAGAAAATGTTTTCTCTGTTAGGGCGCACCTAGAATCAAACATAAGGTTTCTTGAGCTTGTGTCTACCTGTTTAAAGTGCGTTGTGGTATTCATTGTGCAGCCATGCGATCACGACAGTGTCGAGCATTATTTTCACCAGCAAAATGCCAGCCGACCAGAGAACTAGACCTGGTAGCGTTGTAGAGACTGACCACACAAAAAAACCTACCTTAGAGCTAAATCCTGTAGAGTTGTAGGGGCTGACCACACACTCCTGTGTCCAGGTGACGTTCTCTGACACACAACAGGAGTCCGGGACCTGTCTGCGCTGGCCACTGTCCATTGATGTGTTCCAATGACCATTGTCCAGCTTCTGGTAGTCCTGACTGCTCTCCCACCCACAACAACCTAGCTGAACACGACAAGAATCCTCGTTATGGCACAGGGTCACAACTGTTGATGTCTGGACATATATTCTGAAGGCTATGGTTTACGTTCTACATTTTCTGTTGTGTAGAACTTCCGGTTAATATAGCAGATAGGTGGGTGTACTGGTTTTAGGCGTTGCAAGTTTTTGATTGTTAACAATAGTTAGCTGTGGCATTTGACTTCTTATGTAGACTGAAAGTATTCTGTCGTGTCCTCTAGTTGCTAAGCTGAGTGCGTGGTGAGACATTGTGAGCTGCGGATTTAATTTAAATTGCATTTCGACTGTGCCCAGCGGGGTTTGTGTTCTGAAAAGCTGATTCACAAATGCTAAGTGATCTGTTGCCAGACAGCTTTTTTGTGCCTTATGCAATTAATTGCGTGTGGAACTATTGACCTGTTGTAACTGCTGCTTCTATTGACTATGAACTGCAATTCTAGTGTTGGACTATTTGTGTTGACACTTTTGACTGATGCTTTATGCATTTAATGCGTGCGTATGCTGTATGATTTGCTATCATTGCAGTCTGTATCCTTTCTCTTCAACACGGCAAGGATGGACATTCTGTAGTGTTTTCGTTGGCTCAGGACATGAGCAATTATGAGGCGACCTGCTGGCTATGAAGTCGCAACTATGATTTACCTGACTGTTCTATTGTAGACAGCTGGGTGTTAGCAATCTTAGACTATTGTCTTGTGCTGTGTGTGAGCAAGCCCCGTGTATTTTCTCAGCTACTTATCTTGTTGTCACTCTCACTTTTCCTTTCACTACACGAACAAAAATCACACATGAATATGCGTGGTATCAGTAAGTAATATATTATCGGTATATTGTGTTGAAACATATTCATAGCTACATGTTAATCTTATCTAACAATCAGCAAATTAACACTAATTGCCAGGATCGTTGACAGAACCGTTCGTCCCACTGCTCGTTCTCCGATGAACAGTCAGTCTTGACAGAACCGTCCGTCCCACTGCTCGTTCTCCGATGAACAGTCAGTCTTGACAGAACCGTCCGTCCCACTGCTCGTTCTCTGATGAACAGTCAGTCTTGACAGAACCGTCCGTCCCACTGCTCGTTCTCCGATGAACAGTCAGTCTTGACAGAACCGTTCGTCCCACTGCTGGTTCTCCGATGAACAGTCAGTCTTGACAGAACCGTTCGTCCCACTGCTGGTTCTCCGATGAACAGTCAGTCTTGACAGAACCGTTCGTCCCACTGCTGGTTCTCCGATGAACAGTCAGTCTTGACAGAACCGTTCGTCCCACTGCTGGTTCTCCGATGAACAGTCAGTCTTGACTGGGTGAATGTTCTGTTCTGTTATTGTGTGTAAATTATCTCAGAGAGCTTCCGTTAGCCTGACTTCATGAAACAGCGGGCTGTCGACCAGAGGAATGTGATCATCATTAAAAAAGGAACACATAAGGAATTAAAAACGTGAAATAGCTAGTGACGTGTACACGTCGAATAGCATGACAGTCTACAAGAAACCGTATATTGTAGCCAGAGGAGACATAAAGACAGGAGATATTGGAGCTGCCACCTGTATCAATGTTCATCTTTCAGATTCAGCCAAGAACCAGGCTAGGAGAGTCGACCACTGAGGCTGACCACAAATTAGTATAGATGTGTTACTGTCAAATATCATCATCCTGACAGTTGTAGGGGTGCCCGTCGATGTATAGTAGTAATATAAGCAGCAGAAGAGACAGCAGCAGTTGAAATAGTAGCAGCAGAAGTAGTAGTTATTATTACATGTGTTTATTTGTAGTTGTAGCAGCAACAAAGACAACAGCAGTCCATGAACTAGCGGATGTACAACCTACCTTTCTCTGCAGCACATCAAACGACACACCACCTACCTTTCTCTGCAGCACATCAAACGACACACCACCTACCTTTCTCTGCAGCACATCAAACGACACACCACCTACCTTTCTCTGTAGCACATTCAACGACACACAACCTATTTTTCTCTGCAGCACAGCACACGACACACCACCTACCTTTCTCTGCAGCACATCAAACGACATTCATCATACCTTTCTCTGTAGCACATCAGACAACATACAACATACCTTTCTCTGCAGCACATCAAACGACCGTGTGAAACTGTCCCCGTGCACCGAGTCTCCGTAGTGAGCCACAAGTTGGCCCTTTACAAACTGGTCTACCCTGGGCTCCCACTGTTGGACACATTCACACAAGGCTATATTAATGAATTTATTCCGGCAGTTCACACAATGTTTTATTAATGAATCTATCCCAGTGATAGGATATCCACACAAGCTTGTATTAATGAATTTATCCCAATGATGGCGAGTCGACGTGGAGGAGAGGCTGGACGCTCGCCTGCGGATCAGAAGGTCGTGGGTTCGCTCCCTGGCGGAGCCGGATTTTTTTCAAAAATGACCTTGACTCCCAGGTCGACCTAGACTTGAGTGGGTAACGGGTGCAGTCCTGGAAAGTAAAGGTGGCCGGCGTGATGCTGACCACATCACTCATCGTGTGCCGATTGGTATATAAAATATAGGTCTAACCCTATATGCCATTTGGGCCTAATAGCTTGAAAAAGGGACCTTCATTTACTTTTATTTATCCCAATGATGAGATATATTCACGCAAGTTTTTATGAGTGAATCTGTCCCAGTGATGAGAATATAATGTTTGTAGATTTGTGTGCGTGGCTAGATCGCTGGATATGTAGATTTGTGTGTGTGGCTAGATCGCTGGATATGTAGATTTGTGTGTGTGGCTAGATCGCTGGATATGTAGATTTGTGTGCGTGGCTAGATCGCTGGATACGATGGTGTACTGGTCATTTACATTATTATAATCCCTCGAAGTCTACTGGTGTGTAACCACATGAGGCTAACACCGTCAACTCAGCAGATCTCAAGGAGGTTCGCATTGTTCAAGGCGGCCCTAGATCTCTACATCACTAATGTCCTGAGACTCACTGAACAGTTCCTTGCCAACCCCCTCATGGTCGGACTGGTCGTAACGAACAGTTCCTTGCCAACCCCCACATGGTCCGGACTGGTCGTAACGAACAGTTCCTTGCCAACCCACACCTGGCCCGGACTGTTGCTTCGTAATCGGCGGATCCCCTTTATAACTTTTCGGTTGCACCGCCATTTGTAAGTGTAGGTATCTTATCCTTAAGAGGTTCATCCTGAAGGCAGCAGTCCTGTTGGGAACCAACTGCAACAACTTGCATATTTCTCCTGCATACAGATGTGGCACGTGGAGCATGGGAAACGATACAACATAACCCCATTAGGTCTGAGACACTGATTTGTCCAAGCAGACAACAGATACACGAGACATCGACTCGAAGCGAGACTATACATCTACTTGCTAAGTTAGGAGATCTATTGTCTCACCTCAGACTTGAAGACCACGGTCAGGACAATCACTGCTGCCTCTAGGGTCAGGAGCACAATCAGAGGAATCACATACTGGCAACAGAAACAGTTCAATCATAACGGGGCAGGTTATGGCATAAACATGACATAAACATGATGTAAACATGATGTAAACATGATGTAAACATGGCATAAACATGACATAGACATGATGTAAACATAACATAGACATGGCATAAACATGGCATAAACATGATGTAAACATGGCATAAACATGACATAGACATGATGTAAACATAACATAAACATGATGTAAACATGACATAAACATGATGTAAACATGACATAAACATGATGTAAACATGGCATAAACATGATGTAAACATGACATAAACATGATGTAAACATGACATAAACATGATGTAAACATGGCATAAACATGACATAGACATGATGTAAACATAACATAGACATGGCATAAACATGGCATAAACATGATGTAAACATGGCATAAACATGACATAGACATGATGTAAACATGACATAAATATGATGTAAACATGGCATAAACATAACATAGACATGATGTAAACATGGCATAAACATGACATAAACATGATGTAAACATGGCATAAACATGATGTAAACATGGCATAAACATGATGTAAACATGGCATAAACATGACATAGACATGATGTAAACATAACATAAACATGGCATAAACATGACATAAACATGACATAAACATGATGTAAACATGACATAAACATGATGTAAACATGGCATAAACATGACATAAACATGATGTAAACATGGCATAAACATGACATAAACATGATGTAAACATGACATAAACATGATGTAAACATGACATAAACATGATGTAAACATGGCATAAACATGACATAAACAGGATGTAAACATGGCATAAACATGACATAGACATGGTGTAAACATGGCATAAACATGACATAAACATGATGTAAACATGGCATAAACATGACATAAACATGATGTAAACATGGCATAAACATGACATAAACATGATGTAAACATGGCATAAACATGACATAGACATGGTGTAAACATGGCATAAACATGACATAAACATGATGTAAACATGACATAAACATGACATAGACATGATGTAAACATGACATAAACATGACATAAACATGATGTAAACATGACATAAACATGACATAGACATGGTGTAAACATGGCATAAACATGACATAAACATGATGTAAACATGGCATAAACATGACATAAACATGATGTAAACATGGCATAAACATGACATAGACATGGTGTAAACATGGCATAAACATGGCATAAACATGGCATAAACATGATTTAAACATGGCATAAACATGACATAGACATGATGTAAACATGGCATAAACATGACATAAACAGGATGTAAACATGGCATAAACATGACATAGACATGATGTAAACATGGCATAAACATTATGTAAACATGGCATAAACATGACATAGACATGGCATAAACATGACATAGACATGGTGTAAACATGGCATAAACATGACATAGACATGGTGTAAACATGGCATAAACTTGACATAAACAGGATGTAAACATGACATAAACATGACAAAGACATGACATAGACATGGTGTAAACATGACACAAACATGACATAGACATGGTGTAAACATGGCATAAACATGACATAAACAGGATGTAAACATGGCATAAACATGACAAAGACATGACATAAACATGTAAACTCCCGCTGTTATTATCATGCAGTGTCTGCCGATTCGATGGCCATAATTTTTTTTATGTCTGCGCTGCCACCAAACTGGAGGGTTACTGCAATAGGTGCCTGCGCCTACTGGCTTCTGTTTGGGCCGTCACCACTGTGGGGGTTACTGCAGGGGGTGTTTGTACCTACTGGCTTCTGTTTGGAAGTATGATATAAGGAAGTTGCAGTCTCTTCCACACTGGGACTTTGGTACACTGTCTGAAATACCCAAGAACGGTCTTTTCCCACACCTGCGGTCCTGAACATGAATCCTGGTATGTCGAGAATGTGAACACGTTCACCCATATATCCCAGTTGTTCATGCTTGAGAGAACACACTGGATCGAGAATGTGTGTGTGACTGACACTGACTGTGTGGCCCAGTGTCATCCCGGTTTTCGCCACCAAACACATCATCATCATGTGGCACGTTGTTATGCTGACTGTTACTTTCCTACCACGGCTTGGGATAGACTCTCACCATTGCCTCCCTATCGCTAACCGCCCCGTGTTTCTAGCACAAAGATATATATTTGAGCTGGTCAGTCCCTGCTGCCCTACTTCTTTTTTCAAGGATGTATACCCTGCCTTTTGTTTTCCTTTTCAGCCTCTACTGCGTGTCAATAGTCAGGGCATTTCAATTGTTGAGTTCACTCTAAGTTTAAATCTTGTGAAAACAAATACGTTAAATTTCACTGGAGCACGCTATTATAAGAATTTAGATTAATATTCAGCTTCAAAGGTTACACGTGTATTGTTTAAGGATAATGACATCAAAGTACTTACAAAAACTAGAACGCAAGAATTCATAGACAACGCCCCGATGACGCCAAGGGTGGCCAAAACCAAGATGGCCGCTCCTGCAGAGACCATGATGATGGCAGCTCGTTGGAGGACGTCCTGGTCCAGAACCTCAAGGTCAAGGACGTCTGCGGTCAAGTCAAAGAAAGAGTCGTCTGATGCTAGAACCCAGATCCCCACACAAAGGGAGATGATTCCCGCCATCTGTAGGGCAGAGGTCAGAGGTCAGATCTCAGAACGGTATCACTGCTAAGTTGTATGGCATGGTTTAACATCTGAATATCATATAATTGATTTCTCTGTCTGTCTGTCCGTCTGTCTGTCTGTCTGTCTGTCTGTCTGTCTGTCTGTCTGGCTCTCTGTCTGTGTGTCGGTTGTCTGTTGTCTGTCTGTCTGTCTGTCTCTCTCTCTCTCACAGTGTGTGTGTCGGTCGGTCCGTCTGTCTCTCCGTCTGGCTGTTCTTGTCTCCAGGAATACTTACGGCAACTGGTATGTTCATAAAGATGACAGTAAACTTGAGACAGACTCTGGCTGACTCCGTACAGCTCATCATGTCGCTGGCCTTGACGTCGATAAAGTCCAACTTCTCCAGCGTAGACGGCATGCTTCTCCCCAACAAGTCTTGCTTCTCCCCAACAAGTCTTGCTTCTCCCCAACAAGTCTTGTGTCTCAGAACCGCCCGCTATCTGTCGCAAAGGAAACACATTATGAATTGTTGTTTCATTGATCAATCTGCTTCTTCTTTCGTCCCACAGCTTACGCCGTAAATTGTCGCAAAGATGGGTTAGATCTAGCTTCCTCACTTTTGCTTTTTGCGTTGCTTTTGTTGGCGTTATAATTAGGGCTGTACCGAATATTCGCTTCGTATTCGCTTCGGGGCCGAATAGTGGACCTACTAGCTATTCGGTATTCGGCCGAACAGTGGCGGTCGGGCCGAATACGAATGGTGATTTCTGCATACACTGCGATGGACTAAAATAACTCTCTCATTAATAATGTCACAATTTATAGCCGACTTTTCTTGATTTATGCCGCGGCACCCCTGTCATACGCACCCAGTTTTAGAACCTCTGCTGTAATGCCTCGGAGTCAGGCGCTGTACCACGCAAACGGGTCACCGTTTTCCCCAGTACGAAAGATTTAGGCATCGCTACTGTTGTGTTAAAGAAGGCATGAAGAAACTTGAAAGTGTATCTGTGTGTGTGTGTGTGTGTGTGTGAGAGAGAGAGAGAGAGAGAGAGAGAGAGAGAGAGTGAAGAGAGAGAGAGAGAGAGAGAGAGAGAGAGAGAGAGAGAGAGAGAGACAAAGAGAAAGCATGCATTTTTTTTTCTTTAGGGGTGTCTTTTCCCAAATCAAATTGAAGATATTGCAAACGAGAATATGAAGGTGCATTTAAATTACATTGAACGAACGCCTGAACGAAAAATGATTTAAATGCGAATTTGGCACATGGATAAAATCAGATGAAAGATGCATTACTAAAATAAAAAAAATAAAAATAGGACAGGCTAAAAATGCATTTTATATTTAAAAAAAAGAACATCTTGTGCAATATATCGCTGTCTTGCTTGCTACATACATCCAGTTTTAACATATAGCTTTGAGTCCTGGACAATCGGTAGCCAGGCCAAACAATTTTTTGAGGCCTCAGAGATGTGGTTTTACAGAACAATGCTTAAAATACCTTGGACAGCTTAAAAAAAGCAACCACTAGGTTTTGAATGAGGCGGGAGCCCGAAGACAACTAATCGCAGACATCAGAAGAAGACAGTCATCATATAGAAAGAGTGAAAATGGAACATGTGGTGACCACTGGAAGGATTTGTGGAGGGAGAGATAGAAAAAGACAACGTGAGAAGATTTTTGACAGACGTTGAAGGAGATCGCAGATTGTGGCAAGGCAAAATCGCCACACCAGTCGGCGAGGCACCTGATGAATATGATACACTATTTGTATTCGTATTCGTATTCGGCCGAATAGTTGGTCCCACTACTCGTATTCGGCCGAATAGTGAAAACCACTATTCGGTACAGCCTTAGGTATAATGCGTTTCTGCAATGTCCCTGTTACTGCCTCCACCCATCTCTTTCTTAGTCAGCCTCTTGCCTCATAGCCTGCTTGTCTCATGTAGTGTACCTAAGCTTTAACATTTCTCGTCATCACCGATGATCACCGCGAGACTACACATATTGTCTATAGCCAAGAATTGGCATACATTTTATCATGAAAGAAGTATGAATCTGAAAAAGTCTCGCTTGTTATGCCGCTCGCTATAAATATAAGCAGCTGCTGGGACACAAAAAACAAGGAAAAAATCTTTTATGAACTATCAGGTACGAAGCCAAGCAATGAAATATAGTCAATAAATGATAAATGTTTATGCCATCATTTCTGCTGTAGACTTACACCTGTGTCGTCGTCGTGTCTCAGTAGACTGGACCAGTTCTCCTGTAGACTTACACCTGTGTCGTCGATGTGTCTCAGTAGACTGAACCGGTTCTCCTGTAGACTTACACCTGTGTCGTCGTCGTGTCTCAGTAGACTGGACCAGTTCTCCTGTAGACTTACACCTGTGTCGTCGTCGTGTCTCAGTAGACTGGACCGGTTCTCCTGTAGACTTACACCTGTGTCGTCGATGTGTCTCAGTAGACTGGACCGGTTCTCCTGTAGACTTACACCTGTGTCGTCGTCGTATCTCAGTAGACTGGACCGGTTCTCCTGTAGACTTAAGCCTGTGTCGTCGTCGTGTCTCAGTAGACTGGACCGGTTCTCCTGTAGACTTACACCTGTGTCGTCGTCGTGTCTCAGTAGACTGGACCGGTTCTTCTGTAGACTTACACCTGTGTCGTCGATGTGTCTCAGTAGACTGGACCGGTTCTCCTGTAGACTTACACCTGTGTCGTCGTCGTATCTCAGTAGACTGGACCGGTTCTCCTGTAGACTTACACCTGTGTCGTCGTCGTGTCTCAGTAGATTGGACTGTAGACTTACACCTGTGTCGTCGTCGTGTCTCAGTAGACTGGACCGGTTCTCCTGTAGACTTACACCTGTGTCGTCGATGTGTCTCAGTAGACTGGACCGGTTCTCCTGTAGACTTACACCTGTGTCGTCGATGTGTCTCAGTAGACTGGACCGGTTCTCCTGTAGACTTACACCTGTGTCGTCGTCGTGTCTCAGTAGACTGGACCGGTTCTCCTGTAGACTTAAACCTGTGTCGTCGTCGTGTCTCAGTAGACTGGACCGGTTCTCCTGTAGACTTACACCTGTGTCGTCGTCGTGTCTCAGTAGACTGGACCGGTTCTCCTGTAGACTTACACCTGTGTCGTCGTCGTGTCTCAGTAGACTGGACCGGTTCTCCTGTAGACTTACACCTGTGTCGTCGTCGTGTCTCAGTAGACTGGACCGGTTCTCCTGTAGACTTACACCTGTGTCGTCGTCGTGTCTCAGTAGACTGGACCGGTTCTCCTGTAGACTTACACCTGTGTCGTCGTCGTGTCTCAGTAGACTGGACCGGTTCTCCTGTAGACTTACACCTGTGTCGTCGTCGTGTCTCAGTAGACTGGACCGGTTCTCCTGTAGAAAGTTCACTTGTGATTTTAGTCATCAAGAGTAAACAGTAAAGGTCCCTTTTCCACGCCTTTAGTCGCATAGGGCGCATAGGGCTAGACCTATCCTTATTTAGACCAGTCGACACAAGATGGATGATGTGGTCAGCATCACGCCGGTCGCATTTACTTCCCGAGACAGCACCCGGTACCCACTCAAGGCTACGTCGACCTGGGAGTCAGGATCATTTTTTAGAAAAGTCCGGCTCCGTCAGGGAGCGAACCCACGGCCTTCCGATCCGCACGCGAGCGTCTAGCCGCTACCCCACGGCGACTCCCACTTGTGATTTTACCCGTAGTCTAAATGTCAAAGCACTACCCATAATCTGTTCATAAAACTGCTGTATCAGGGAAACAGACTGCGCAGTTTTTAAATCTCTCTCACAGCACACAGTCATAAGGCTCGGTTTGTCTGAATCTGATCTAGTGGGCAACAAATTAGCACAATTTACATACAACTACCACAGGCAATTTTTTGCTGTTCGAACTAGTAGCCTTACAATGTAAACTATGGCTCTAAAAAGGGCTTAAGCATGGCTTGAAACTTCAGAGTTCACACACGTGTGCATACTTTGTGACTCGATGAATATGCTTAAATAAGATTCAAGCTCGTTTTGTGAGGCAAGAGTGGGCTGCAAAACAAAGCACTTCACGAATATCTGCCCTAACCTTCATCTTTGTGCCAGGTAATGCGGGTGTTCAAGGAAACGAGCGTGCAGATTATCTTGCAGACCGTGAGGTTGTTATGGCTGGTCCAGTACTGGACAGAAGCCATGTTATCAATGCGCAGTAATTACCGAGACTACAACCAGGCTAAAAGACATGACTTCGTTTCCCTGTCTAGACTGATGGACATGGGGGTGCAGCCTGGTGCTGCAAAAAGTGAACATTTCACCAAGGAGACAAGACGTTTCATTAACCAATTCAGAACAGGTGTTTTTAGTCTTTTTACACTTGTGGAGCTTTTAAGAAGGAAATCGGAGCACCTATGCATCTGTCCGGAGTGCTGTGAAGATAATCCTTACTCATAAGTAATCACTATGCAATTATTTGTGTTGTTACTGCTGTTGGTATTTATGCTGCCCTAGTTTTTACTCCTAGTGTTATTACTGATATTCCTACTGTTACGCTGCTGTTGTTATTGCTGCGTCAGTTATTACTCAGCTATGACTTGCTTGTGACTATATCTTATTAACACATACAGCGTTACATAATATCCTGTTGCAGAATATATAACAAAAATCTCTAGCTCAGCGGTTCCCAACCTGTGAGTCGAATCCTTTTTTTTTGATGGGGGGAAAAGGGGGGGGGGGCTTTTGAACGACCTTTTCACCGGGGTCGCTTAAGGCCACCACTTACTAAAGTTTTGAAGTAGCAACGAAAATATTTGTATGCCTGGGGGTGGCCACACTATGTGGAACTGTATTAAAGGGCTGGCGGCATCAGGAAGGTTGAGAGCCCTGATTGAGTCGATTCTCTCCAGATTCAGTTGCTGGGAACAGAGAATTCCGAACTGGCAGAAAGCTGGGACCAGGGAAAGCGAGACACCCGTCCACCTCTCCTGGAAGAGACTGAACACCTTTGATCTTGTCCTCTGAGCAGGACTTTCTTTGACTGACCAATCAGGCCATGCGATCACTGTAAAGATAACATATGCAAATACACTTGCCAGATTTTTGACACGCCTGCATTTAAATACTTCACCTGTGTTCTTCTTGCTGAAATTTCTCACTGTAAATTAACGTATCACATTTTAGGAAAGTAACACAAAAATCCAATGGTTTCTCTGCCAAATTCGAATAATGTGATGCTTCTCCCTCGTTTCACACTGACGCTATACAAACACAACCGCAACTTGCAGTCTGCCAAAGACAATATGCCAATATCGATTTCTTGTTTTGAACTGTCCAGATTTAGATCCTACCTACTTTTGCGATAAACGGA